CCCCCCCCCCCAAGCCCCCCCAACCTGCGTGCGGGCGGGTGAAGAATCGCCGGTCACCTCCACCAGCCGAGGGCAGCTCGAAAACCCTCAAAAAGCACGACTTCGTTCACGCCCACAAAGGAAATAAGGGAACAAAATTAATGATAATTGAGCAGATCTGAACTTCTGTTCGGGCAAAGAAACACATTTATTTAAATGATGTGTCCCCTGTGTGCTATTTTCGGGGGCACCGCTCCTTTAGCGGCGTAAGTGCCTTATGAAACTGGTGTTATGTGAAACCCAGGCTAAACTCAGGCATTTATTTTTACTGCGTCCTGAACTTCCTCTCATCGTTTACTGCTATGTGTGAATATGTTCCACGTATCTCAACCAATTTGTCAAACACTCTGAATGCCCGTGCCACTGATTTAGATGTTGGCAAGTTAAGTGAAACAAAAGAGACAAAAGTTTGCTGTGCACCGGCAACAAAAAGTGTGCGGTCAAAAGCATTTACCACGCCCGCGGCTTCCCCGTGATCCACAGTCAATTCAGAGAAGCTTTTTTTTTTTTTTTTAAACTCTGAATAAAACGGTTTCTTTCTTAAAATCCAAGTGAAAGTATATTCCAAGTAAACGATTTCTTCTGATTTCTTCATTTAAATATTGGGATTAGCAGTTAGTTATGAAAACGTAAAAACAATGCCCAACATTTCAGATGGTAAGTAGGACTGTGTAAATATTTTACTATATTGCTGTCTTAGAAATACATATTGCTCAGGACAATAATAAGCTATTAAATAAAACCAAATTAAGTTCAAGCTTTTATCCACAAACATACAATGGGACAGTTTTTCTTGACTTAAGCATACTGAAAAATTGTTTTTGCAGAAATTTCTTGGGTGCAATGTTTTTATTTACAAAAAAAAATGTTCTTGCCAGACTTAAAGTTTTTTTTTTTTAATTGTGTGTTAGGAGTGTTGTTTGGATTGTATATATCCTGAGCAATTAAGGGAAAAGGTCATTTAGAACCACAGCAAAAGGGAGCTCTAGTGATCATAATAAGATGATAAAACCGCAAAGACATGTTTACTGCTAATAACTTTCCCAGAACCACACCTCTTTATATTATTTTTGTTAAATTTAAAGGAATTCCATTACATCACAACTGGAAGAAGTTCTGCGACAGCAACGTTTGCTAGTCCCCCAAGGGTCAAGTTTCTCTCATTATCCAGCTGTTCTTTGATAGCATTAATATTTTAAGGAGTGATTTGTTGGCGCTTACCTCCCATTAATTACATTCTCCGTGCCACAGTGGGATTCTTTTCCTTAGGACATGAACTGTAATGAATTTCCTCATTCAAAGCTCCTGTCTATTTGACTTATTTAGAGGGCATTTTACTCAAATTTAGTTGGCTATTTACTCATGGAAAACAACCAAACCTTCGAGTTACTTGATACTCCACAGATCGGACATGTGTGAATATTCGAGCAACTGTGTGCCACGCTTTCATATCTACATCCAGGTGCCTTACAACAATCAGCTCAGGGGGTGTGCCCAGGGGAGGAAATGTGTTTGGTTCTTTGTCATGAAAGAGCTCCTCGAATTTACACTGACAAATTAAACTGCAAAATTGATGTTCTCAGAATGCTCTTTGTGAATAGTAAAAGAATATGTATCTTTTAAACATCCAAATTTTCTGTTATTCTGTTACTACTTTAATAGTAAAGGAGGATTAAAAAGTTCTCTTAGACCCCCCCCCCTTGAAGACTCTAGAGGGAAGACAGAGA